CAAAAAAAAAAAAAAAAAAATTAAAAAAATATTAAAAAAAAAAGTAAAAATGGGATTTTGTACTGTAGGCTCAAAGGAACCACTGTGTATATGCAGAAGTCAAGCCACAAATCTATTATAAATCAGGTTTGTTATTTATTCCTGTGTTTAATTTTATTATAATTTTTAACTTGCTTCACAAAGTTATCTGTGCTTGTGGTGCTCTCTTTGCATAACTATTAGAGGCATATTATTTACATTGGCAGAAAAACATATCAAGTGACCAAAATATAGAGATGACGTTGGCAAATATTGACTGGACCAATGCAAAGCTTGCAAGCTGACTCCCTGTCAGGGAACCTGATACTTGTGGCAAACCTGTTTGTAAGGCTGATACTCATCTCATAAGCAAAACACTTTCTTGTTGCTACACACATGCTAGGAGAAAATTCCAGCAGATATCACTGGGCACTGAAAGCAATGTCTCCCTCCAAATTAGTATTCAAACTCTCCTTTTCTCTCTAAACCTTTTTTGTCTGCAAGGAATATAAAGCACAGCTTGGGAGAAAATGCACCTGCATGGAAATGCGTCGACACAAAGTTCCAGTTATGAGGGAAGGGGCAGCCAAACATGCACTCCTCTCATGAAACAAAATGTTCATTGGCCCTATTAATAATCAATTAGATGGAGAGCTACCTGATGCTATACATCTGGTGAGGCCTCCAGCTGCCAGCAGCTTTTTCCCCTGATAAAGCTGATGCTGCTTTAAAAAACTCTCTTTCCTGTTTAGCAAGACTAAACTCAGCAAAATCATCTATTCTTTTGCACTTCACCCCATATTTTCCCACTTGCTAATTAGAGATGCAAATGTGGATAAGTAAGATGACGGTTTTCAAGCACAACTGGGTCAATATGTTGAACATTGTGCCCTGTTCCTCCAATTAGACTCCTATGAGAAATAGTTCGATTATAATTAGAGGAGCAATTATCCCCTTGTTTAAGGTGAAACAAATCACAGGTTTGTTTTAGTGAAAAATTCAGCTTTGCTCCTTCTGCCATGCCAACAAATCTTGTATCCACTGATGTTCTGATACCAGTACTCTCCAAAAGAGATAATCTGATGAAATAAAGCATCTCTGAATATATTTCTGGCTCACCATATGACAGCAACATTTTCCAGGCGTAAACTAAAATGAGCAAAGAGGGGTTCATTTCATACAGTGCTGCTGTTATGCCACTGGAGCAACCCAGCACCCGTGCACGGGCATATTAATCTTCTGGCTTCTTTGGGGAGACGGCGGGTTTCTGCCAAAAGGCAGGCAAATGTCTCCCCAGACATGGGAGAAAAGCATTATATTTTTGGCTTGATCCTAGCAAAAGAGGTATTAAAAATACTGAGCAATACCATTTTAGAGTATTTCTGGGATTTGTTATTCTTTCTTTCACCTAGTCTACTTTTCATTTAAATATAATTATTATTAACCTGTCCTACAGTCCTTGAACTGAAGTAACTCTCAATGGCCTTTTATTCCCATCTAGTGGGTCAGAAGCACTAGACGGATAGATTCCCTTACTCCACCCTCACTGAGTTCTCTCAGTATGCGTCTTCAGAGGTGACAAACATCTTTTCTCTGAGAAGTTCCATGTCCTGAGGTGCCGCCTCTGTGTCACATCCAACAGGGACTCTTTATTTCATTTAGTTAAATATACTTAGAGAATCTACTATGCAACCTACAGTCTGCTGGTGTTAGAGAGAAACATGAACAAAAATCCCGTTTTGTTCCTTATTTCATCCCAGTCTAATCAGGTAGGACAGTAGTAAACAGATATATTTCAACACAGATAATAGTTGGAGCTGTAAAAAAATCAGGGTACCTAGGGGCTGATGTTCAGGCAGTTATACTGGTTCATTCATACCAGATGTTAAATACTGAATAGTTCTGCATCCGCTACTTAATAGCTGACATATTTTTTTTCTTAACCAATGAGTACTGAGAGGAGTTTTTAGTCAACACTGCTACGACCTGGAGAGATAGCATGTAAGGAATCCTGGGTTGGCCTCTTCCTCCTCTGACACTTTCTTTGTCCCTCTCTTTCCTTTGGCTTGGAAAAGGAGAGCTACCAACAGTAGCCCCAGCCCAGATTTCCTCTTTGGGAGAAAATATGAAGTCTGGTCCAATGTCTTGGGTCCATTATGACTAAACAGACAACTTGAAAAATCAGAGTAAGGACAGCAGCACATCAGGACTTGCTGTAGATATTCACGTTAACAAGGCATTTGTAAAGTAAATATGTTACATCAATAAGGGAATTTCCCGGTTTTAAAGCTCAAACGTTATCTTCATTTGTAGCATTTATGGCCTCTAACCAAAGTAACTGGCTAGAAAACACAGGAGGGCATCTTCGTGACTCTTCGTAGGGCAGAAGCTTCATCTCTGCACACCCCACAGTGCCCAACAGAGCTGCACTGTGCTCAGTGACCACTCCAAATTCAAGAGGTCGAACTGAGTCTTCTGTGAATCAATAGGTGATAGAATAATAGCATTAATAATGCTAGTGAGTGCTTCTACATGGTCTAAGTGATTTGCATATATCTCATTAACCTTCAGCTACATTCTGGAGAGACACCATTCGTTATTATATCCATTTTGTAATTTAATTGAGGAAACTTAGATACCAAGAGCTGAAATACCTTGCTTAAAGTCCAAGACGTAAAAATGGGGACACTTGAGTTTAAACCTAGAGTTCTGTAAGGAAATTAGTTTAACGTTCTGTAGCAGAAATTAAAGCCAAAATAGGGGAGAAAATTAAATGTTATTTATTATCTCAGATATGCCTGTGCCATTATTTGCACCAAAGGTGATGCTTCTGTAACTTAAGATTAGTAGAGCTCTTTGGAAACCTACTGACTTTTTTCTTTTTTTTTTGGTACGCGGGCCTCTCACTGCTGTGGCCTCTCCCTTTGTGGAGCACAGGCTCCAGACGCGCAGGCTCAGCGGCCATGGCTCACGGGCCCAGCCGCTCCGCGGCATGTGGGATATTCCCAGACTGGGGCACGAACCCGTGTCCCCCGAATCGGCAGGTGGACTCTCAACCACTGCGCCACCAGGGAAGCCCCCTACTGACTTTTATGGGAAGAAAATTATTGTCTCCTGATATTCTGCAAAGAATGAACTTGACTACTTATTCAATGATGCTAGATATATACTTATTAAACAAAGATAAATTGAATCAGTCAACTATGTATTTGTTGAGTGTTTACTGAGTTTTTCAGATTCATTTGCCTTGCATACAAAAGAAGCATAAATCCTTGTCAGCATGGCCTGATGTCTTAAGGACTGATTTTGTTTATAGTAAAACATGAGAGTTTTACCTGCTGGTTTCCTTTTAAGATCAATATTCCATTTTATGCTATTTTCATGCTTTTAAATTCCTCAAATAAATAAATAAAATATTAAATGATAAATATATATACCATTAAATTAAAATAATCTTATAATCCCTTAACTCACCACGTTACAATTCATCCCTTTCTTCTTTAATTTATCTGCCCCTCCTGAGCAAATGACAGTTGTAACATGTCACGTTAAAGTATTCATTAGATTTCTGATCTTGGTGATTCTAAGGGTGCTGAAAATAATCGACACAGGAGTTTATTAGCCTGCTCTCAAGCATGTGTGTTTGATCTCTCTCTTGACTTCCAGAAAAAGAAAAAATATTCACATTATAGTTCTGTGAATGTCAAATGGGTATATGATTTTTGAGCTTGCCAAGTGTTAATTGGTCTCTTCCCCAGTGATGATACAGATAAAATTCACAGCCAATTAGTTTGCACTCTTGAATCTTTACTCCTTGCCAAAGTGAACCACTTTGCTGAGGAGACCAAGAAAATGAAGAAGTTATAGAATCTCCTCACTGAAAATCTCTGCAGGGATTTGCTCTCTTTAAGAAACATCAGGTCAGGAAGAGTCTATGGATACCTATGTTACTCAGGATATGTTTTGGTCTTCAAGATAGTTTAATGGTGGAGGTTTGCATTAGAATTTTAGAAATCCAGTTAAGGAGACAGATGCACTTATTGTCCTAAGTGAAAGGAAATATTGAATAGAGAAGAGCTGCCTACTTTATAATCACAATAAATCATATTGTGTGTCAGTGTTAGAAGATAAGGTTTTGGAGTGGCTGGATAAAGCAGCAATAATCATACAAAGTCTCTGATACAGTGCTAGAAAGTGCCATGGGATGCCAGGAACAAGGCAAAAAACAGCTCTCTTCTTTCAAAGAAAAAAGGAAATTTCATTAAGAGTGCCACTTAGAGCCTTTGCATTGATACATTGGAGATATGGATGACTGTGACAGAAAAATGGGCATTGTATTGTTTGGTGCTAATAAAAAGTCATGGTATAAATCTGATTTGTAATATTTCATTAACTATCAATAGGCTTTGTTTCACCAAAAACAGAAAATGAAAATAAAGAGCTAATGGAAAGCTTACAGGATGAAACTAACGGACATTCCTCAAACATGTTTTTATTCATGGTGTGTGGCTATGGCTTTTAGGTATGTCCATCAATATATCACAGAGCAGGAAATATATACGTGGAGTGCACAGGCTCACACACACACACACACACACACACACACACACACACACACCTTTCTTACATTTTTTGCATAGTATCAAGAAAAATAATAAAATTGATGGTACATTATTAAGTCATACCACCTTTCTCTATGATTAGTGCCAGATAAAATAAAACAGTGTTTCTGATTTCTTAAAAGACAGTGACAAAATTAAACCAAGCTGCCTGTGGCTTTGTCCAGTGGGGCATTCTAATTGACTCCAAGTCATTAATCAGTTCCCAATCAATCTATTTTGCCAGTAGCAAGCAGTTAGGACTCCATTACCAACCATTCATCATGCCATACCCTAATTCACTGCACCATTAGCCAGGGACTAGGCCTCCGTTAGAATAACTTAAGCGTCAATTGCTAAATGTGAAGAATTTTTGCTACTCACTTCAGCCACTGGGATCCCTTCTGGTGGTCGACACTGGAGCAAGACTTCCTGTTCCAAGGATACTTCCTTTCCCAGGGGTTCCTGCTCAAATGTCTTCCGCAGATCTGGAAAGCACCAGTAATAAAATATAAGACAAAACTAATTAACATTTATTCATTTATTGGAAGTACAATAAACATCCTGCAGCTTATTTTATGTTTCTCTGTATTTTTTAATCATGTTAGTACTGTACCATAATGTGGGTGATTATATTCTGTGTACTGGAAATTATGAAACTTGGAGGCTATTAACTGTTCCTACTTTAATCTTCACTGGAATGCTTTGGAGATCCTCATTCTAACAATTAGTGAAACTCATTCATTGCATTTCCTTACTATTTCTTAATAATCAACTATAATGATAACTTTTTTTTTTTTTTTTTTTGCGTTACGCGGGCCTCTCACTGTTGTGGCCTCTCCCATTGCGGAGCACAGGCTCTGGACGCGCAGGCTCAGCGGCCATGGCTCACGGGCCCAGCCGCTCCGCGGCATGTGGGATCTTCCCGGACCGGGGCACGAACCCACGTCCCCTGCATCGGCAGGCGGACTCTCAACCACTGCACCACCAGGGAAGCCCAATGATCACATTTTTAATCAAGAGAATCCCATTGTCATGATGCTTATTCATAAAGTCCCTTAGGTATAATCTTATTTTTTCTTTCTTCCCAATAGATAACTATTGTAGTTGTAATAACTCTGAGATCTTTTGATAAATAACTCAAAAGCAAGTTTCTGTTCAGAGTGAAAAACAGAATGCTGGAGTCCTGAAAGAATGAATATAGCTTCTTGAGGTGTCTCAAACACAAGACAGGGAAAAGAGTAACTATTGGGATGAGTCCAGAAATATCTCAATATGTAAATTATGTGACCATTCTGCAATTAGAAGATTAAACAGTCATTTCTGCTCAAATATACCAAGAATCTAATTATGTATTTATATCAGTGGTCCCCAACCTTTTGGGCACCAGGGACCGGTTTCGTGGAAGACAGTTTTTCTACGGACCAGGGTCGGGGGAGGGTTGGCGGGGGAGGGATGGTTCAGGCGGTACTGCGAGCGACGGGGAGCCGCGCATGAAGCTTTGCTCACTCGCTGCCCACCTCCGGCTCTGCGGCCTGGTTCCTAACAGGCCACGGATCAGGGGTTGGGGACCCCTGATTTATACAGTTATAGTTGCTACAGCAATACGCAGTACAATTTTAAAAACTGCTATTGATGGACACGAAAATGTTAGAAACCAGTTTGTCATTTTAAACACCAAAGCTAAAAAGTACATGAGTCAGTCATAGAGCTTTGAAGCAGCATTTTTTTTAAAAGCAAAGCAAAAAAATTATTTCGTATATGTACTCTTCAGCTCCTTCCCATTAAAAGTTATTGGAATTTTACCCAGTTGATTTTAGTAAAAAGTTAATGCCTCTTTCCTTTCATCCCATGTCCCCAGCAATGACTTCAGAATCTAAAAGCACGATTTCAGCCTACTGAACTAATGAGTGGAAATCTGAAGACTCTGGAGGTGTGCCTCTAATGTCTTTCAAGGAGCTATTAGAAAGCACCACTTGGAAAATGCACTGAGAAAAAAATTCATTGTCATATATTTGCCATTTGGTTGAATTTCTTGGCAGAAAAAAACCTTCAAGAGCTTAGGGGCTGTGAAAAGATAACTGGATCTAGGTGGGTCTGAAGTAAGACAAGAGACTCTACAAATGGTGACAGAATTTCTGTCAGAAGGGCATTTCTAATTTGATTATCAAGAAATTGAGTATGTTGCAGGAATGAACACTTAAAATCCAGAGTTATTAGAACTTGAAAGTTATCTAAACCAGGTCCTTATTTTACATATGAGAAACACATTTCTCAAGTTACTCAAAGCCTCACAGCAAAATAACTGATGCTGCGTTAGAACCTGCTGATTTGATACGTATTTTTCTATCCCACACATCCCTTCACATCTCTTTTGGTTGATTTGTGTCCTTTCAACAGAAACATTAAAACAACTTCTACTCTTTCTTTTCTCATATAGTAGCTTATCTTTGTTTTTAATCTGCATTAAGATGAAATTTTGGCAAAACACCAAATATTAATAAAAGCAATAGCAGCAGTGAATAACTTTAATGGGATAAAATGTTCTTGACAGGGTATATCTTGTTGGTGAAAAATGATTCTAAAAAACTCCCATCTGGGCTTCCCTGGTGGCGCAGTGGTTGAGAGTCCGCCTGCCGATGCAGGGGACACGGGTTCGTGCCCCTGCCGGGAAGATCCCATATGCTGCGGAGCGGCTAGGCCCGTGAGCCATGGCTGCTGAGCCTGCGCGTCCGGAGCCTGTGCACTGCAACGGGAGAGGCCACAGCAGTGAGAGGCCCTTGTACTGCACACAAAAAAACAAAACTCCCATCTGATGCAGGGTAGGGTGAAGACCTAAAGACTGGAATTAGTTTTCAAATCAAATAACATATTGACTCTCAGTTAAACTAACCAGCATATCACAAAATAAGGATTGAGAATTAGAAAGAATGAGGCACATATATATCCAAATAGTCAAAACAAATTCCTTTAACATTTGTAAATTATCTCCTTAAGGTAGGCACTTTATTAGGTACTTAGGATGAAGATATGTAAGATTCAGAATCAAGACTAGAACGGTAAGCTGAGATCTATTTATGAAAAGCCTTCCTGCCATGCTAAGGAATGGCAAACCCTCAAAGGCTTTTAAGCAGAGGAGGGAGATAGGATGTCATATTGCCCTCGGTGTGATTGAGGTGGTGGTGAAGAAGCAGAAGGTAGTTAGGAACCCATTTGAATAGATCAGGAGGGATAACGGGGTCCTGAACTCAACTAGTGACAGTGGACAGGAAGGGGAGAAAGCAGATTCTAGTAATAAATAGATCATATGTTGAGGAAGACCTAGGTATTTGGAGAGTGAGAAGAGGAAAAGATAATAGTATATTCTTAGCTACTGCAATTGTTAAGTTGATACCAGCATTAAATGAAATAATACCAAATTGGGCAGAAAAGTGGTGAGAAAGATAGCAAATTTATTTTGGTACATGTTCAGTTTGGTGCAGCTGTAGGCTATTCAAGCGGAAAAGTCCAATAGGTCCATATCATGATTTCTCAACCTCAGCACGACTGACATTTGGGACTGGATAATTCTGTTGTGAGGTTGCCCCGTGCACAGTAAGTTGCTTAGCAGCATCCTTGGACTCTACCCAACAGACACCAGTAGCACCCTTCCAAGCCATGGCAAAACAAATGCCTCCAGATAATGCCAAATGTCTCCTGACATGAAAAATCACCTCAAGTAGAGAACCACTGGTCTAGAGTTTGGAAAAGAAGGCCTGATGAAAGATCTGTGCTTCATTTTCTAGGAGATAGCTGAAGCACTAGAAATAGATGACACTACCAGGGCAGGGAAAAAAAAAAAGAGGACACCAACATTCAAGAGGAAAACCTGCCTGCAAAAATGATATGGCGTGAGCAAAGACGTCGGAGAAAAACCAAGACACAAGTGTCAGAGAAGCCAAGAGGAGAATAAAGTTTTAAGAAGTTGGGAGGCCAACAGGACAAATGCAGCAAAGGACTCAGGAGAAGTTTGGGGAATTTAGGAGTGAAGGGGGAGTAGAAGCCCAGCTGAGTTGAGGGTGCACAGGAATTGGGAAAATGACCATCAGGAGAACTCCTGCTCTTTTGCAAGATTTTATGGTGATGGAAGTCAGCATTAAGGGATGATGGGTTTGAATGGAGCACGCTATAATTCTTCTTAGGATATGGTATAGTTTTGGGCACAGTCTTCAAATTCCTGCCATATGATGGCACACCTTTTGAGAATCCTCATTTCCTAATTGAGAATGGTGACCACACATCGGAGTCATGTACTTCAAAAGACAGGTTTAACTGAACTATCACTGAATACCATATAATTCTGTTGTTTTGAGGTTATTTAATTTTAAACTCTATGTAAATTTTATCTAATTCCTAAAATGATTCACATTTAACCCCCCACAAAGTAGTACTGCTTCCTGAAAAATCCTTTTAATTCCTGCCAAAAACCTCTTCTCTAGCTTTCAGGTTGTGTAAAGAGCATAGAATATATTGTGCTGTCCAGCATGGCAGCTGCTCCTTTCATATGCCTCCACGGTACTCTGTAAGGGGGTGAGTAGCATTTTAAGCATATCCTTTATCATTTGGAGAGATGTGATAGAAGGCAGGCTGGATGACTTGCAGGCAGAGAGAACACGAGGGTGACGAATGGATAAGCATGAAAAATGGACACTTGTCAGCTAGGAATTAGATGTAAAACAGAATGTTTTAGAATAATGTGGGCATTCCTGTCAGGAAAAAGATGAATTTTTTGCCCTTGGAAGACCTTTAGGATTCTACATTTCTGTTTTCTTTCCATTAGTTCTAAGGCTGCTACTAAAATAAGTATAAAGTCCTTTCATTATAACCTAGATTACTTTTACAAAGTAAACTTGGCTTACCTCTGATTTAGTCATTGACTCCATCAATTAAAGGAAAAATCAGCTTTGTCATATGCATGCATTCAGAGACATGTTTACTTAAGAACATGAATATTGGCTTACTAAATCCATACAGAGAAATCCAATTAGCAGATGTAGAATCAGACCTGAAACTATATGGACTTCTATTTACCATTTACACAGTAATCAAAGAAAGCCTTTTAGAACACACACATGTGTGGGTGTACATGGCATCTCATTTCTTTTTTTTTTTTTTTTTTTTTTTTGGCGGTACGCGGGCCTCTCACCGCTGTGGCCTCTCCCACCGCGGAGCACAGGCCCCGGACGCACAGGCTCAGCAACCATGGCCCACGGGCCCAGCCGCTCCGCGGCACGTGGGATCCTCCCGGACCGGGGCATTAACCCGCGTCCCCTGCATCAGCAGGCGGGCGGACTCTCAACCACTGCGCCACCAGGGAAGCCCGGCATCTCATTTTTTATGGTAGAATTTTGATGCTGTCAATGAATGTTTTTGCACAATAATAATACTGTGGTTACAAATTATTTATGATGTGAAACCCACTAATTTCATGGCATTCTGCAAACATGGA